AGCTCTTACATTTTATGTGAAGTGACACAATAATTTTAATTTTTTAATTTTAAGTAGACCATAATGAGGGCTGTATACTATAATTGCTAGAACAAAAACATTTTTAGAAAAAAGTATAGCTCATCCCCTCTCCCTTACCCAAAAAGTAAATAAATAAATGTGGCAGGAGAGGAAGAACAGAGGAGCAAAGATCAGATGCAGTAAATGGGAAACAAAATGAAACAAGAAATAGCAAAACACAGTCATATCAATAAATACAATAAAGAGAACATCATATCCAAGATCAGGAGCAAAGCAAGGATTATCTACTTAGATCATTTCTACTCAACATGGAGGTTGTAATGTAATAAGGCCAAAAAAGGGGGGGGCGGGGAGGCATACATAGAATATCCTAAGGAATCTTCAAAACAAGTACTTGAACCAATAAATGAATTTAGTGAGGCCGTGGGATACATGATTCATACATACAAATCAACTGTATTTCTATACACTGGAGGGAAATGGTTAGAAAATGAAATTTTTAAAATACCATTTATAGTAGCCCCCCCCCCCCAAAAAAAATAATTAGGAATAAATTAACCAGAGAAGTACAAGACTTCTTTTTTTTTTTTTTTTTAAGATTTTATTTATTTATTTGACAAAGAGAGACACAGCAAGAGAGGGAATACAAGCAGGGGGAATGGGAGAGGGAGAAGCAGGCTTCCCGCGGAGCAGGGAGCCCAATGCGGGGCTCGATCCCAGGACCCTGGGATCATGACCTGAGCCGAAGGCAGACGCCTAACGACTGAGCCACCCAGGCGCCCCGAGAAGTACAAGACTTCTGCACTGAAAACTACAGAACATTGCTAAGATAAAATAAAGAAGACGTAAAAGGCGTACATCATGTTTGTGGATTTGAAAATTCAATATTTTTTAAGAAGTCACTTCTCAAACTTCTCAAATTTATCTTGATTTTAACACAGTCCTTCCTACTTTAAATCCCAGAAAGCTTTTTTTGTTATATTCACAAAGTTGTAAGATCACTAGTTCCAGAACATTTTCTCACCCCAGAAAGAAGTCCTATGCCCATTAGCAGTCACTCTCCATACCTCCATTCTCCTAGCTCCCAACAACCATCTATTTACTTTCTGTGTCTATGGATTTGCCTATGCCGGGCATTTCCTATAAATGGACTCATAAAATATATAACCTTTTAAGAGTGGCTTCTTTCTCTTAGCATAATGTCTTCCAAGCTGATCCGTGATATAGCATGAGTCAGTACTTTATTCCTCTTATGGCTGAATAATATTACATTGTATGGATATAGGCCAGATCTTGTTTATCCATTCAAAAGTTGGACAGATTGTTTCCAGTTTTTTCCTATTATGAATGATTCTGCTCTGAATATTCCTGTGTAAGTTTTTGTGTGGATATAATGTTTCTTGGTTCTTTTGGGTATATATGCCTAGGGATGGAATTGGTGAGTCATATGGTAACTTTAGGTTCAACTTTTTGAAGAGGTAATAGAAATTTTAACTGAAACTGGGTTTCATTCATCTTTTTTTTTTTTTTTAAAGATTTTATTTATTTATTTGACACAGAGAGAACATAAGCAGGGGGAGCTGCAGGCAGCGGGGAGGGAGAAGCAGGCTCTCCGCTGAGCAGAGAGCCTGATGCAGGGCTCAAATTCAGTACCCTGGGATCATGACCTGAGCCAAAGGCAGACGCTTAACCAACTGAGCCACCCAGGTGCCCCTTAAGGGGAAATTTAATGCACTCACATTTATTGTGATTACTATGATTACTGCTTTGTTTTGTATTTTCTGTTTACTAGGCTTTTCTGTTTATTAGGTTTATTTTTCCTTTCCTGCCTTTTTATTGGACTAATTAAGCCCTTGATTGCATGCTTTCTCCCCCCCCCCCCCCAGCATCCCCCCCGTGAGAGAATTTGGGCATCCTATTTGTACTCTAAGATTGTTAACAGACAAATTTAAACTTACATGTTTATCTTAATGTCTACAGTTAATCAAAGCCCCCATTCACTTAGGAAAAGAATAATAGGTTGCTTTGAATTTGTTATTTTCCCAAGCATCTCCTTAATGAAGTCATATGGAACTGTAAGACTACGTTCTCTTTTTCTTTTGCCTTCTTAAATTATTCTTGCATGATTTTCTATCCATGTTTGTCAGTTTTGCTAATTTCTTTGCTCAGCACTATTTCTTACATATTTGCCTTTTCCTGCATTTATTATTTATTTTGCAAGAGTGCTTTCTCAAAGAATTATTTCAGTAAGGTTTATGGCTGGTAAATTTTCTGAGTCCATGCATATTTTTTTAAAAGTCTATTTCACCCTTACGCTTAAATGATAGACAATTTAAAATCATTTTCCCTGAGAACTTTGAAGATACTACTCCATGGTTTGCTAATTTCCATTGTTGCTGGTGAGAATTTTGATGTCAGTCTGGTTGTGTCTTGATTCTTTTCCCTAGTAACTCTTAGGAATTTCTTTACAAGTTCTAATATTTTACTCCCCAGTGTGAGGTTATGGACTTTTTCCTTCCGTGCTGCTCAGCACTTGTTGGATCCTTTCAGTCTGGAGATTTCTGGTTTTTTATCTCTGGGACATTTTCATTGGTCGTTTTCTCCTGAACACTCTTTCTGTTCTGTTTCTGGAATTCTTATTAGGTATTAAAATTTATACATCCATCCATCATGGCTCTTAACTTTTTTAACTTTCTCTTTTTTTGTCCTTTTGTACTGTATTTTTGGAGAGTCCTCAGTAAAATCTAATCACCTTGCAATTCATTTCAGTTAACACTAGTAACTGTGAAGTTAACTCTAATAACATCATGATAATATATGTGCCTGGGAGCAATATACTTTCTCTACATATGCTATGTTATAATTTGCCCAGAAATGAACAAATACAACAGTTCTAGGGAATGTGATTGCTTTGTGTGTTCAACAAATCTAAAGATAGAAACTTCCTGCAAAATTACTAAATTCTCTGGAATCTGTGTGGTGCTACTCCATGTAGATCAGTACCCAGAGGTACTTCATTGTATCCTTCATTTCCTCAGATGTTATCCTCTTTGTTGTATCTGTGTCTCTCTTTCAGGGTGCTGATTTCCCTCATCATTTGGTGATCTTTTTGGTGATTTGCTCATCTGTGTGTTTTTACACTCTGTTCACCTGCTTGAGTGTTCGGTAGCTTATTGCCAGTGGTTGTGAGGGAGGTACAGGACAAGCTGCCGAGGGGCAAGCCTGCTGCTTGTCTTCTGGTGTGCGTGCTCTCCTTCCCTCCTGAGGGCCAGCGACTACCTGTGACAGAGCACCGCTCTGCCCCTCTAGTAGGCATCATTACTGCTTGTTAGCCTGGGAAATAAGCCTCTGTTGACTGCCGCTTGGTACAAGCTGAGGGAGGGGGAGCTCTTCCAGACGCAGCTTACCTGTTAATCATCCTGATGTATGTCTGAGTGTGTGTGTGTGTGTGTGTGTGTGTGTGTGTGTCCTTGTGTCCCCAGTCCCCAGCTCTCTGTGTCCAGTGACTGGCTTGAAGCTGTCTTCTCACTACTCCTACTTACGCAGATGTCTTTTCCTACATGTGGTTCGGGCTGTGGCTTCCTTCAGTTTACTCTCCCCTCCCCCCGCTGCCATATATTTGATCTTGTCTGCTTCCAGGATACTGCTGATAGTCTTATTTTCTCATGCACTTAGGATTTGTATTTGTTGAATTTAAATGTTTCCTAAGAAAAGTTTTCCCCAACCATCCAATTTAAAGGAACTTCCCAGCTACTTTCTATTATATCACCTTAGGTTATTTTCATTATAGCATTTATGTCTACCTAATATTTGTCTTTTGTCAGTCTTTCCAGACCTAAATGCACACTTCATTAGGGGCCTTATATGTTCTGTTTACTGCTGTGTCCCAGGTGGTTAGAAGAGTGTCTGGTATATACTAGACATTAAATGTATGATAGTTTAATTAAGTAACTTTATCTTTTCTAAACAATTATACATCAGATCTGCTTGAATTACACAAATTTTAGATTTTATACCAGCAACCGGGCTTAACCTGTCTGTTCAAGACCCAAAACATTTACTAACCAAATAATTGTCTTTGACCAGAAAGGTGTACATTAACCCATGGACCAGCATGAACGTAAAGTTCTTAACTTCCAGCTCTTCAGTATACATGTCATTGAACTCCGCTTTAAACTCTGGGAGAATTAAAGCAAAGCTTCGATTTTTCTAAGAACATTACAAAATGACCAGGAAAAGCCATAATTATATTTGCTTATAGTTTCTATGATATGATAGTCTATTCTCAGGTAAATTGTAAATCAAAATGCGTCATATCATCATGCATATTATAATGGAGCTCCTTTAAAAGGCAAACCCAAATTTCCAAATTCTTAAATTAGGTGTAAAGGATTCACTCTACCAAATAAAATTTTTACTCTTGTTCCCTATATCTCTTAGAGTAAATTTGGTAGTTCTAGTCATCTGATCAGCCAATATATGATAGTAATAAACAACTTTTCAATTTTAAATCATTGTTTTCAGGGTCAATCCCTTAAATATTAGACTGTTAAAACAGAAAAATCCACTTAGCAGTCTGATTCACCCCTTGCATGAGAACTCCCTGAAAGAAAATTACATGTCTGGGCAAGTATTGACCAGGCTTCTACTGCTAAGTATATTATTTTTTCAGTTCCATATAATTGTTACAAAATACAACAACATTCCAATTTTCTATATCAAGATCAAATTTATTCCCATATTTTTCTTTAAAAATGTTTTAAATTTTATATTGAAAAAGGTAAAGAGAAAGTAACTTTCAGAAAACAAGCAAAATTCATCTGTTCCATAAAACAAAGAATACTTATATGTACATCATTAGGAAATCTTTAGGTTACTTATATTCCTACTACGAAGAGGATGAACTTAAACCTTATGTAATTAACCTCTTACAATTCTGATGGAAATCATTTTAATTTTGTTCTTCTTTTATTATTTAGGCAAAGATGCAATTTACACAATTCCAGTGAAAAACATTCTTGCTGTGGAAAAACTGGAAGAGAGCTCTTTCAACAAGAAAAATGTAAGTTACATGAATAATCACTTAAAGCTTTTTAAATTGCACATATTACTTGATCAAAAATTTTCAGGGTTTTGTATTTGCCATTAATCATTACTATTTTAATTAATTGTTGACTAGAACTGTCTTAAAATTGTCCATTATTTTTCCTGAAACTAACATTGTATCTCCACTATACTCAAATAAAAATTTTTTTAAATAAAATGTTTAAAAATTTTTTTAAATAAATAAATTGTCCATTGTGATTGATGCCTTGTATAGTCTGCCTAGCCTATTAAGTTAAAGGTACTTTTCTCAGTACTTCTCTAATCTGACCTTTCAACTTGACATTCAAGTCTTTAATAATATAGTCCCAGCCAGTCTGTGCAATCTTATATACTGTAACTCAAACCAGTGAGGGTGATTTCCTGTTTCTCTGTATTCTCCCACTGCTTTGCCCTTACTCATACTTTTTCCTCCATCTGAAGTTCCCTTCCTTCATTCTTAATTATATGATAGTCCATTCTTTGGACATGTGTGACTTCTAAAAATTATATTCTATTGTACTTAGTACCATGTGACTCAGATTGTCCTTGGAACTAATTTACTTGAAAAGTAACAATTTGTAAGATATCTGAGCAGCAGTTATCTAGCCAAGCAATCTATTTTTCTCTTACATACCTTTTTCTGTTTGTACTGTGTTGGTTTTTAGACTCTCTTACTAACTTTTTATCTTAATTGCCTATGAAGATGTTCCAAGTAATACATATGGAGAAGCCACTCTATGTCCAGGCAAATAATTGTGTAGAAGCTAATGAATGGATAGACGTCCTCTGCAGGGTGAGCCGATGCAATCAGAACAGGCTCAGCTTTTATCACCCGTCTGCATATCTCAATGGAAACTGGCTCTGCTGTCTGGAGACCAGTGAGAACGCTCTCGGCTGCAAGCCATGTACTGCGTAAGTTTCTTTCTGATTTAAAAAAAGCAGTGTGGTATATCAATAGAATGAAATATTATCAGCCGTAAAATGGAATAAAGTATTGATACATGCTGCAACACGGGTGGACCTTGAAAACATGCCAAGTGAAAGAAGCCAGAAACAGAGGCCGTATACTATATGATGACTTTTATGAAAACTATCCAGAATAGGTAAATTTATAGACAGAAAGTAGATTAGTGGTTGTGATGGCCTGGAGGGAGGAAGGTTTGGGGAGTGCTAATGGATACAGGGTTTCTTCTGGGGTGATGAAAATGTTCTCAAATAAGTAGTGGTTGGCACAAGTCAAAAAAAGTGGGGTGGGGGGAGCAATGTCGAAGTAGATGCATAAGCCTGAGCAAGGAGGGACTTTGCATTCTCTTTCTAACTGTATGGAACAGCCATTGTAGCCCCGTGGACTTAAGAAGTAATGTAGTGCTTTTGTGATGAAGCATAGGTATTACGAAAATGATTTCTTTTTAGATTGGATTTTGGATTAGAGTTCTGTAATGACCAAACCTCTCTTGGCCCCATTTTATTAAATTGTCAAATGAGACTAGATCTCTGAGTTTCCTCCTGCAAAGTTCTGAGGTTCTGCTTTTTAATCCCAAGTCACCAAAAATCTTTGGCATGTTAACAAAATGAAATTTTTCAATGTCTTTAATTTCATTTTTATCATAGAGGTGTCCCTGCAGATATCCAAATAGATATTGATGAAGACAGAGAAACAGAAAGAATTTATTCCCTTTTTACCCTCAGTTTGCTTAAGCTGCAGAAAATGGAAGGTAAATATACAATTAAAATATTTTTACATAACCACGATCCTTTGTTACCAATTCCTGAAGTAATTGCTTTGGCATTGTCTTAAAGTTGAAAATACTCAAAGCTTTACCAAAATGTTACTTATGTGGACATTGATAAACTCCCAAAGGGGTGTTTTTCACAGATACTCACAAAGATACTGTTTTTGCATAAATGTGCTGTTCGTAATTAATAAAATGAAAGTATGTGGGTTATCTGTGCATTTCCAGGGGAAGTCTTCCCAGCTTGAGACACTCAAAGTTCTTATGTATACTAAAAATTACATTTATGGAATTAGTTTTCTGATAAGAGATTTTACTGCTCCTTTTAGAGGCTTGTGGAACTATAGCAGTCTACCAAGGACCACAGAAAGAGCCTGATGATTATTCTAACTTTGTAATCGAGGATTCTGTAACAACCTTTAAGACAATTCAGCAAATAAAAAGCATCATAGAGAAGCTGGATGAACCTCATGAAAAGTATAGGAAGAAAAGATCAAGTAGTGCAAAATATGGGAGCAAGTAAGTATTCTTAAGATTCTTTAAACATATTTGTAAACATTGTTTGAGATTCCAACTACTACTCTTTACTCACACCTGACATGCAGGCTTCCTGCTTACCTTCATCTTTCAAGACCCAGCTCAGAAGGTTTCTCTTGTGAAAAAGTTCCCCTGGACACTCACACAGTGGTCTTTGTCTTTGCAGTTCTGCTACTGTTTCATTATGTTGGTGCTGTGGTTGATCACCACTTTTAATGTTCAAATTATTTCATTAAGTCATATACGTAGTAGCTTTTGTTTTTGTTTTGTTTTTACCCTCCCTCTTCCATCTTAGTATCTTCTACAGTGCCTTATACATACTAAGTACTGAAAAAAAACATCACCTGTGAAAATGCTACAAGTACTTCATAGTTGAGTCTTTGGACCCATCTCAGATGTAGGTGACTATTACAGTGGATAACAGCAGCAACATCTAACACTTTATTAGGAGCTTAGTCCACCACCAGGCAGTGTACCTATTATATTACATCATATTATGCAGCGTGTTTTTAGAATCCCCACTGAGGTGGCTAAACCAATAGGAAAAATTTTATTTTAATTTAATTTTTTTTAAGATTTTATTTATTTATTATTTGAGAGAGAGAGCACGAGCTGAGGGGAAGGGCAGAGGGAGAGGGAGAAGCAAACTCACTGAGCACAGAGCCTGATGCGGGGCTCGATCCCAGGACCCTGAGATCATGACCCAAGCTGAAGGCAGACCCTTAACCAGCTGAGCCATCCAAGAGAAATTTTTTAATCTCACAAATTAAGTCCTAACTTCCATAGTTGGTTGGTCCAGCAGCTCTGTATTGTTACCAAGCACCATCCAGCCACTTACCCGTCCTCAACAAGATGATTTCTGTATTCCTAAGGTTTGTCCCTTCATGGTCATGGATGAGCTGCAACAGTTCACTATTTTTATATAATAGTATCCAGAGGCAGAAAGACATTATTTCCTTCTCACTAAGAGAAAAGAACCTTATCTAAAGTTACCCCAGCTTTCCCTGGAACATGGGGCTGCACCGTATCAGCACTAGGATCAGAGTTCTGTTTGCACAAAGGTGAATAGGGAGGGGATAGTTCTTAGACCACAGTGCACACTGTCTCATTCATCCTCACATCAGTCCAACATGGTTATTCCTATTTTACAGCTAGAGAAACTGAGGCTCAGAGATGTTAAGTGCTTTGTCAAAGGTCATACAGCTGATTAGTGAGGGGCTTTGAATCCTGGCCCCACTGTTTTAAGCATTCTTTAAAAATAATGTGATTATTGGGGCACCTAGGTGGCTCAGTCAGTCGAGCATCCCGACTCTTGGTTTCAGCTCATGATCTCAAGATTGTAGATTGAGGGCAACCCCCTCCCCAGGCTCTGCTCTGGGCGAGGAGCCCGCTTGGGATTCTCTCTCCCCCTCACTCTTTGCCTCTCCCCACTCTCTCTCTTTAAAAAAAATGTGATTATTAATTTGTGGTTTATGAACAATAAAAATCAGTTTGACAGATGTGTGTTCTCCCTGGATAGAAAAAGGCTATTGTAACCATCTGAATCCTGTCTTCTCTACATTAGTGTAATTGGTTCTCTTCCAACAGTGCTAATATAGTTTTCTTGGAGTCCCCAGAAATTTCCGTTTGAGGTCCTAGCCAGTGCTTGACCACTCTTCTTTTTTTTTTTTTTTAATAGTTTATTTATTTATTTGAGACAGAGAGAATGAGAGAGAGCACATGAGAGGGGGGAGGGTCAGAGGGAGAAGCAGACTCCCTGCTGAGCAGGAAGCCCGATGCGGGACTCGATCCCGGGACTCCAGGATCATGACCTGAGCCGAAGGCAGTCGCTTAACCAACTGAGCCACCCAGGCGCCCTTGACCACTCTTCTTAAATAGTATCTGTCCCCCACCCCTGACCACCCTACCTTTTCCCACCTTTATTTTTCTCCATTAAAAAATATCAGTCTTGGGATGCCGAGTGGCTCAGTCTGTTGGGTGTCTGCCTTCGGCTGAGGTCATGATATCGGAGTCCTGGGATCGGGCCCCACGTTGGGCTCCCTGCTCAGCAGAGCCTGCTTCTCCCTCCGCCCTTCACCTCACTTGTACTTTCTCTCTCTTGCTCTCTCTCTCTCAAATAAATAAATGAAATCTTTAAAAAATACATATATATGGGCGCCTGGGTGGTTCAGTTGGTTAAGCAACTGCCTTCGGCTCAGGTCATGATCCTGGAGTCCCGGGATCGAGGCCCGCATCGGGCTCCCTGCTCAGCGGGGAGTCTGCTTCTCCCTCTGACCCTCCCCCCTCTCATGCTCTCTCTCTCTCATTCTCTCTCTCAAATAAATAAATAAAATCTTAAAAATAAATAAATAAATAATACATATATATACCAGTCTCTTGGGGTGCCTGGGGTGGCTCGGTAGGTTGAGTGTCCAGCTCTTGATTTCCACTTGAATTGTGGGATCAAGCCCTACCCCTGTCTCCCCACTCAGTGAGAGTCTGCTTCTCTCCTCTGCCCCTCCCTCTAAGCACACAGGTGCTCGTGTTCCCTCTCCCCCCCACACCAAATAAATAAATAAATAAATAAATAAATCTTTAAAAAAAAATCAGTCTATCTTGTACTAAGTAGTTTCCTTGTTCATTTTACTTTCCCTATAACAGAAAGTAAGCTCCGTGAGAGCAAGGTTTTGTCTATTTTATTCACTGCTGTATCCACAGCTTCTAAAATAGTGCCTAACATTTAATAGGTGATCAGTAAATACTTCTTGAGTTAATGAATTAAGAGTTGACATGAGAGAGATGCCTGAATGGTTCAGTCGGTCCTGGTCCTGGGATCGAGTCCCACATCGGGCTCCTTGCTCAGCAGGGAACCTGCTTCTCCCTCTGCCAGTCGCTCCCCCTGCTTGTGCGCTCTCTCTCTGACAAATAAATAAATAAAATCTGTAAAAAAAAAATGACATGAGAGATTATCAAGGGAAAATTACAAATACTTAATGGATACTGTGAGATAATTTGTCACTTTTTAAAATGTTATATATTCTTTTGAAAAATGGTTTTCTTTTATTTTCCAGGGAAAATCCAATTGTAGGAAAAACATCTTAGAATATGACCAACTGATTCAGAAGAACTGGAAAATACTATTTTTGTTGGAGTTTTTCATTTCATTGTTTATTTTGTTCCTGGTATTTAAGAATGAACATTGGCTTCAGTATCACCTATATTCACATTATATTTAATATTTAATAGTTGAAAGTAACTGGGAATCCCACTGTTGATGCATTACTAGAGAATTTGAAACTCAAAGATTCCCTTCATATCTTATATGTCAAAAGCCATGTGTCTGCAGCTTCTTTTTAATAGAAAGAATCTTCCTAAAGAAGCTTTATAACAAAAGGAGAACTCCTCCATAACAAGAAACCATCTCTTGCTGTGACACTCCATGTTCTGTGGACTTCTCACTACCATCAGTGCCTGCTCTATACTGCCAGTGTTGTGTTTTACTAGAAAATCCAGCCCATGACACTTCAGAGCTTTCCCTTTAGTTCATCCAGACCCTCCCTCTTCAAAAAAGAAAAAAAAAAAGGGGTTTTCCTTTCGTCTGTTAGTCATTACAGATTACAGTAGGGACTTTTGAAAACTGCCAGAGCATCCTTGAAGGTTGGTAGCTCCTTTTGCCTATTTAAAGATGTAAACAGAACTCAGACAGGAGGAATCATGGAACATACACTGTTGTGTGCATCTTGTTTACATTTGGGATGAGTGATGGCAGATGAAATACAATGAGACCACTAAATTTTTTTCATTGTTTTAAATATCAGGTACTCATATTCTTGATTTGAAAGTTCAAGTTAACATGACTTGTAAGGACATCTCTTCTGAAAAAGAAGAGACAGTAGTCAGTGAAAGAAGGTGGTGGGAAAATCACTTGACTTCATCTGTTATTATAAGGGCCACCATAAGGACGCCCTCCTCCTAGTGTGAGGGTGAGAGCTAATTCGAGAACAGTCACTTGGCGCACTTTAATAATCTGGGCTGCCCCAGATTATACTTTAGATACTCTGTGGTATCTAATCTTTATGATCAGTTGAATGATCAGTGTTTAAGTCTAGAAATAGTGCTTTCCTGAAAACGTTTATATTTCATTGCTGTTTTCTTATTTCCTGCTAGCCAGATGGAGTTTGGGCAAGCAACTGTTTGAATCCTGTTTTTCCCTAATAATTTACTTTTATCCTAAAAACCATAATTGTAAATAAGCAGTCGAAGCAAGTTGCCTCCTTGAAGTTAAGAGGGATACACATTGCTTCATCAGTATTAAAAACCATGGTACTCTTATTTTGTCTTTTAAAATTTAAAACATTTTCTAAATGTGGTACTTTGAACCTTGGAGTATTTACATATTTCTGTTTAAAACTGTGACTTATTAATGTAAGTCTAGCTAGTAGTGCTTTTTTTGTTTTCCTGAGCATAAGCTATATATCAGGATACACTTTGCCAGTTTTGTTATTGGTAATTGTTTTTAAATTATATTGTTACTAGGGAATTTTTTTAAAGACCATTGGCATACAATCAGAGTTGTTCCAGAAATGATTATAACTGAGCAATGTATTTCTCTAAATGACTCGTGAAAATCAATTGGTTTTATTTAAGAATCGGTCCTAGTCTCCATTATGGTAGGTTTATTCCTGCCCACTTTAAAGACAAGTTTGAAAGACTCCTTTAAATTTTATGAGCTTGTGTATTCCATAAATTACACTGATTTATATAAATGTGAAAAAATTTAACCATTTAATAAATTTCTCATTGCTGAATTTCATTCACATTGAAATTTCCTTTTAAGAGTCTCTGAGATGTCTACCTGAAAAGGACATGTGAGCATTGCCAAGTACCACTTGTTATTCTTTAGTGGCTGTTTTAGCCCTCTGCTCTTTTTCAAGGCAAAAGAAATATTTTTTAAGTATTTCTAATATCAAATCCCCAATCATGATTGCTTTTAAAGATCATGGCATTGTCAAAGGGACCAAGGCTGTGTGAGTACATAACTGAATTTGAATGGAAGAGTTCCGTCATATAGTTATTTTCTTCACATGACACTTTTAAACAGCCTATTTGACTGGAATTAACCAGCTTGGCACAGCCAAAAAGAAGTAATGTGAAATTAAATTAATCTTCTTTGAAAGTCTACTGAAATAAGAGACCATGTCAGTAGGACCCTACAATAACCTAGGTACTTGCTTCCAAGGGCCTCATTCCTCTGCTGTTATGAGTATTTTGATTTTTGCTACCAGATCTGCTTTCTCTGCCTTTTCCACACTTGAAAAAAAATACATGGCAGCTCACTTCACCCTAAAAACCTGAAAATGCCTAGAAGGAGAGAAAAGGATGATTTAAAAACTCTTGCCATAAATGCCAGTTCTGGTTCTTAGTTTAGCCATTTCCATCAGTTGCAGTTGTGGTGATCTATTCTTGTTATTGTTTGTTGTTGTTGTTTTTTAGTTTGGTTTTTTAATATTCATTTACTAAGATGATGGCAATAGCTAAGTTTTTTACCCCCAGGAATATAATTTATCAAATTGAATTATTTTATTTGCCAAAGAAATATGTTTATAATGTCACGGGTAATGGTTAAATGTCAAAACTAGATTTTCCTTATTATTAAAAAAAAAAAAAAGGTGATGAATGATGTGGCTTTTGTTTGTTTCTGAAGCCTGATTTCATTCATTTATCAGAAAGGCTCATTCATGCCAGGTTTTAGAAAACAGATTTTTTCCTTTTTTTTTTTTTTTTTTTAAGTAAAAGCACCTTTAATTTGTTCTAACGGTACATCCTGTAATGACAATGCTACAAAAAGCCTTTTAGGTGTCCTTACAGTATGCGAAAAATACAGGACTCATTCTAGAGTTAAATTACCTGTCTTGACCAATATTATCTGCTTCCATTTTTATTAACTTGGAAATTAATATGTTGCTAGTAAATATTGGTTTTTACAGTGTCCAATTTGAATATGTAAGTTATCAAAACTTTAATGTAGTGAATTTGTGTAACCATGTTGTATTGTTGAGAATGTATTTTTATTTAAATTTTATTTTCTTATCAAGAGTATTATAAAAATTAAAAACTTTTGTAACTGTCGCTTGGAAATAACTCAAATAAATTACAAGAAGCCTGTCTGTTCTCTGTGAGACCTTACTTTCTTACTGATTTAAGATTTCTTGCTTAAAATTATTGTACCTTGCCTATCAGTAAGGGAACAGCAAACGTGAGAAGTCCTCAGTAACAAAGAAGAACAAAGCCATCTGTTTTAAAAGTGCTCAGGATTCTTTTCTTGCACTTAACTTGGCTGATTTTTGATGGACTGTGGTCCTTATTCGCTCATTCGTTCAACAGACTTGTTTTGAGGACCTCCAGTATAGAGGCACCATGCAGCATCCCTTCATTCCTGATAGCCGAGCACGTCCAGCGTGCAGGATTGTATTCCACCCCGGTCCCTGTCTGGGTAAGTAGTTCAGAGCTTTTTTCAGCCTGTCCTAGACTTTTTGAAGAATCCCATTTCTACTTACCTCAAAACAGTTGACATCAGAGCTTCTGGTTACTCAGGTCCTACACTGACTCCTGTACATTACCCTGCCCTGTAGCTTGAGCTTCAGTGCAATCCTTCCAGATGTTAGAATTTGACCATGTTGTGCCATTTTGCTGAATTGTCTATAGAGAATATAAAGTAACAGCACCAAAGACCAGGTTAGTGGGTAACTTGTGCCCCCAAGGAGAGAAGCCAGAATACTTCCCCATTAGGGCCACAGCAGCCCTCTTAGCATTTCTAAATAAACCTCCGTAAAACTTAGCCCTTGTAACTCCAGAAGAGTTTAAGGTTAATAAAGAGGAAGAAATTCGGGTTCTGATTATCTAGGGATCCTACTTTTATCAAAATACCAGCATCCTACTCAGGCTAGCTCATGTATTACAAAAGAACTTGTCAGAAACGTCGAAGACTTCGAGTTACATTCTATGATGTAAACAAGCTAGTTCTTTAATGAGAGAGGGTGCCGTACTTCTCCCTTTCAAAATTGCATGATTCCAAAAGAGGAGACCCCTAAGGCCAAAGGAAGTTCCTTTATGTGTACACCGGAATAAGAAGGCATAGTTCGCACTGCTGGATTCTGATTGCTGACACTACTATGCCCACATCAGTGGCCTTCAGAGAATAACCTTTCTTGAGTAGACGTGACATGCTTCAAACTCAACGGACCCATGTTCAGAGACATTGGTCTTGATTCCTCATAGGCATACTTACCTGAGGTTTGATCTTCTGTGGCCAAAAGATTCATTCTTTGGCTTGTAATTTTCCCATTTGACTTCTTAGTTTGGTGATACCATTTGCACCATATTTTAAGCTTATGCCTGTATTTTATGTTAGCAACAGAGGTGGTGTAACCTGTTGAAAGTCCCGTCAAGATTTGTTTTGTTTTCTGCCATGTATTTCAAATCCTCTTTGTTTCATACCATCAGAAACTTTGTGCTTTCCTTGTGTCGATCTACTTTTTGACGTGGAGTGTAGTCCTTAAATATATAAAAGTTTTTCCTCATCAAGGAAGAATTTTTTTTTTTTTTAAAGATTTTATTTATTTATTCATGAGAGACAGAGAGAGAGGCAGAGGGAGAAGCAGGCTCCCAAGGAGCAGAGAGCCTGATGCGGGACTCGATCCCAGGACCCTGAGATCATGACCTGAGCCGAAGGCAGACGCTTAACCATCTGAGCCACCCAGGCGCCCAAGGAAGAATTCTTTTGCCTGTAGTGAACAACATTGTTTTCCAACTTTAGCATATTTCTCAACTGAGAACTGAGAAAGCCGCACTGGCTGTTCAAGAAGCACCCATCATTTTAGATGGATTCTCAATGCAGGATGGGGTAAGTGACCCCTAGAGAAGCCTATCAGAATCTCCCAGAGGAGACAGAGGGCTTGGGGGGCCGGGGGGGGGCGGGTATATGGTTTGAAAGGGCATAGTCAATGTTATAATTTTACACTTGAAAATACACCTCTTTTTGTAATTCAAACGACAGAAAAAGCTCAAAATCTTACTGATACAGATGCGTGGGTGGGACCTTCTCACCTGGAGGCCCTTTTCAATACAGAGCCTGAGATACTTGTGTTAATGTGGAGCACATTTTTAAAGTTTGGGAAACGCTGGAATGTGGGCTGTTGTATTAAATTCCAAATCCTGAGCCTGAGTCTCATTCCTAAATTCTACATCAAAATATGTGTCGGGAGTGAGGATACTGTCAAAATCACTGTTTTGCTGGAGCTTACAACCCACAGGGAGAAGGAAGCCTGAATAAGTAAAAGCTATCAGATGGTAGTAAGTATGACAGGGCACAACAAGGACAGGAGACAGGGAGTGCCACGCGTGGGGCCGGAAGGTGTGGGGGTACACTGGGTAATTAGGTCATCAAGGCAGGGCTCACCAGGAAGGAGAGTTTGAATGAAGAAGTGAGGGAAGGGAGTCCTATGGATGTGTGGAGGAAGAAATAAAATGCATAGGCAGAAGAAATAAAATGTGGGGTGTGCTCAGAGACAGCAAGGACATTAGTGTGGCCAGAGCCAAATGCGTGAGGGGAATGGTAGGAGCCTGGTGGCGGAGGGTATTGAACAGTGAAATGATGTTGACCCACTTACCTTCTGTGGGTTGCTGTGACTGCTGAGTTGAGAGAGGTTTCAAGGAAGGCACAGGAGGGGCGCCTGGGTGGCTCAGTCGGTTAAGCGACTGCCTTCGGCTCAGGTCATGATCCCAGGGTCCTGGGATCGAGTCCCACATCGGGCTCCCTGCTCGGCAGGGAGCCTGCTTCTCCTTCTCCCCCTCCCCCTGCTGGTGTTCC